CGTGCACACTTGGCACTGCCTAGTAACACAAGGTACTTGAGCAAAAATATATTGGCGTTCTAACGAATTAAAACGAACATGCAACTCACTACAAGCAGCAGCTCTGCAGAGACAAGTGCACATGCCGCACTGACATGTATGTGCACTCACAACCACCTGCTACTGCTACTGCCACTGCTACTGCTACCCTACTACTACTGCTGCTACCGCTATTGCTGCTGCTGCTGCTGCTACGATTACTAATGACTACTACTGCTACCACTACTGCTGCTGCTGCTGCTGCTACTGCTGCTGCTGCTGCTGCTGCTGCTGCTACTGCTACTACTACTACTTCTTCTTTTTCTTCTTCTACTACTACCACTACTAACTACCTTCCACTACCACTACCACTTCTACGACTATTGCTACTGCTACTGTTACTGCCACTGCCACTGCCACTGCCACTGCTACTGCTACTGCTACTGCCACTGCTACTGCTGCTACTACTAGTACCACGACCACTACTACGCCTACTACTAGTAGGTGAAAAACCTACGGTCGAGTATCCTTCCAGAAGGCATGGAATGCTGTTAGTTCAAGGCTTTCCTTCCCAGTAGTAATGAGTCTGCATAATATGTTTGTTTGTGTTTGTGTGCCGGTGTGGGTGGTTGGGAGTGTTCTTGAGTTTCCACAAGGGCAAACTTAGTCGAGGGTGCACGTGCTTTGTACTGTCTGCAGAAAGCAAATAAGGTCGAGCTTCATTTGGATGAGCGGAAAATGCTGAAGTCTATCAACTTGAGTAACTTGAGTCCAACTTCCGACGCTGCGACTGCAACTGCAAGTGTGTCTTCTTACGGCGGCATCTCATCCGTTGCGACGCTGGATTTGGGTGCAAAGCCAATGACCATCCGCCAGTTTACATCTTGGGCAACCTTGGAGCGCGCAGATCCGGAGACGTTGGTGAACAAGCTCCGAGAGGTGCAGCAGTCCTGGTAAACAGCATCACAAGCGGAGATGCATCCCATGAATAAACATGGCAGTTATGACAGGTCTATGTTGAGCTGGATCCAGCCCATGGCCTGCATGCAATGTGCTCCAGCTGCAACTGGCAGAGTCCGCAAAGACAAACCGTCTGGATCCGTTCCTGGGAGGTGAGGGGATCGGTGGCCATGGTTGGGTGTCGTCATGTACGAGTCAGGGGGGTTTGGGCTAACTATTATCTTCCTGTCGCCCCTGAAGCAGCTGTAGCAGTCAGCTGCGCTTGTGACCGCTTGTGGACGGTCAGGCGGATCCTTGCCTGCCTTGAGCGAGTGTGAGAGCCGAAAGCCAAACCGACCAACTTGGTCTCCACTTTGTAATTATGTGTCTCGTCGGAATAACGCAGATGCCGGGTGCCAGCTCAGGTATTCCGAGCCTGTCGAGCGCGAAAAGGCTGCCAGTTTGACGTTCAAAACATCACCAGTGGCCATGTCCCATGTCAACTCGTGTCAGAGGCAGAATGTGGTTGCCTTTGCCTCGCAGCCCTAGCCTCGAACAGCTACGATTACTTCGTGGCACCACAGAGGGTGCTTTGGGCAGCACCATCCAGATAGTTGGCCAGGAAGCTGCAGGAATGTGACACCGGGTGCCCTTTGAGGTGGAATCTCGATTAGAGTCGGGCCAGTGGAACCAACTTAGAGGCATTCTCAGCTGGGCTGCGCCCACGCAGGACCAAGCAAAGTCAGTTCGAGATCTGTTGATTGACAGGGGTCCAGCATGAAAGCACCGTACCGAACTCATCTTGCACAAGCGTTTGTGAGGAGATGCTGCAAGCCGCCTTCTTTTTGCTTTCCGTGCGAAGCATCGGCAAGTACAGGAGTGCAGCCTCTGCACCAGAGATCGACATGCGTTCTCCTGGCAGTTGTCTGTGTTCTGGCAGGACTGTAACGCGGCAGCTTCCTGAGGCGCATCAACGTCCGGAAGCTGCTTTGTCGCTTGGTTCGGTAGTTTGGTACAGGGATCGTGGCAGTACTTGATTTGCTCTTCATGGCATGCCCGGGTTCTTGTTCATTGGCGATGGGACATCTGCGAATTTGGAGTTGCAGTGAGACAGCGTCGCCAACTCCAGGCTTTACATCTTGGACCACTTCCCGAACGTGGTGCCCACGGTACACAGCATCTTGTCCGCTTTTTACCCTTTCACTTCGATTTCCGATAGTCACGTTGCAGAGAGGTCCTAAGCAGATTTGCGACTGAGACTGCTGCACGGCGGTGCGAGCCTGCGAGATCGCCAGACTGAGGCTTGAGTGAGACGGCGAAAAGCTTGGTGTGGCTTGACTGAAGCTTACAAAGCCCGAGAGGCACCTGCCCGCCATGCAGTGTCGTGAGGGCCCAGTGGGAAATTGGTTGAAACCTGAGGACCAATGTCCTGCAGCTTCAACAGGATTTCATCTTTCCCCAAATGCTACAGGGTGAGAACGTACCTGCGAACCTGGCCCAGCTGCAGTGCTTCGTCCAGGATAAAGGCGAAGAAACACTGAAATTTTACGTTGTCTTCCTGCTGGGCTTCTTGAGCCGCTTGGAAGCACACGAGAATCGAGTTCAGGACTGTGTCCGCATTCGTGCGCACGCCTCCGATCTTTGTGTCAGGTGCTCTGCAAGGTGGCACAGGGTCCAGCTTCATGACAGCGGCCAACGCGAAGAACATCATCCTGGGCCTTTCCACAGTTGCTAGGAAAGACTTTGTTTACAGACCGGTACTGCTGTGGCAGATGGTCTTATCTCACAGCTGGCAAGAAAGCCGCAACAAGGTTCAGCAGCTTCTCGCCAAGGATCCACGCCTCCTTTACTGGTCCTCTGCATGCAGCGAGTTTTCCGTTGTCGAAAGCACGTTGTACGCAAGGTCTCTTTAAACCATGCTTGCACGCCCAACTTGCTCCACCATCAGACCTTAAAGCTTTTGAACGCAGTCAGTTGCTGCCGGCCCCAGGATGTACATCTACCAGAGAGGCTTGCAGCTTCGTCAGCCTGCGAGCTACTTTTCATGAAAGATGATTCGGGGATGCGTAAAGTATAATTAGAGGCAGACACTTCCACTTCCAATGATTTCAGGTTCTCCTGAAGATCTGGCTATTCTTCGGCTGGCCTGCCTTTGCCGAGTCAGCGATAGACGTTCGTTTGAGGAGTTGTCGAGAGACTGGGCCGAGTGGCTTGACTTTCCATCAAAACGCTTTCGGGCATCAAGAAGGGCAGGCGACTAAAGGAGTTCTTGATCCAGGCAGCTATGTGCACGACCACCAAAATGCAACTGCAGCATCATGCAACCGGCCCAGGCTGAGTGCTCATGACCAAGACGTCCTGACGCAACATTTTCTGGCAAGCGGTATCCAGAGCATGGCCATTGTTTTCGAGTCTTCTGGCTGTGCCTAAATTGCTGTGTCATACTCACTACGAAATCAGTGTAACGTGACACACGCTCAGTTGGAAGCGCTGTTTGAGGTTTCTTCCGCTCTGCCTAGAGCGCGCAAAGAGGAATCGGCATGTATCGGCACCTTGGCCGAACAAGAAGGTTCCAGTCTTTGTCAAGGAGCAGCATTGTTGCAGTTTTTGCTTCGAGGTGCCATGTCTTCTGGAAGTGCTCGTCGTCTTGGTGGAAGCGGTCTTCGCTGTTCGGGCAAACGATCCAACAGCAGGAGGGGACTAAGTGTGCGTCTGCACCGTTTCGCAGTAGCGAATGCTCTAGCCGAAGGAGAAATCGTCACCGTTGACTTGTCCAACCTGGCCGCTTTCATACTCATGGTGCAGCTTGACTTGACCTGGCAGTGGCTCGAGGGAGCTGGCAGCAGCTTGTGCCGTCATGGATGCCAGGGGTAGAGGGTGTAGAACGTATGCAACACTCGCAGCATCATGCCTGGAACAGTTATTCGACATCAGAGTGTGATTCTGATATTGAGACAAGGGCAGATCATTTGGCATTGAGGCAGAATCGGTTCGTCTTCCAGACCTGTCTCTCTCGGTCCAAGCTGATTGCGCAGCACACATCCCAGAAGCACGACCAGGGCAAGCGAGCAACTTGCCGAAAGAACAGATAGGCTGCCAGGCCTAGTGCATCCATCATACTTGCATGCGATCAGATCAGCACATCCCCGGCAAACGGTAGGACGTTTGGTTCCGACTGGACCTGACTGAGGCCTGAATCTGGGAGTGACAGCCGAAACCGTAGCCTTTCGGAGCACGCATGAAAAATGCCCTGTCCGCACAGGACAACTGGAATCGGGTGAACGAGAGGCAGCACGACGTGGCCCTGCTTGCCAGCACAGTGCCTGAGACGCACTGAAAGACAGAAGCTGTGGAGCTGGGCTTTGCAATGTTCTGTCAAGGAGGCTGAAACTGCGATGTGCTTCTTCCGCAAGGTCCGTCTTAGCTGGCCGCAAGCTGAGGTGCGGGACATACTGCATCGACAGCAGAGCGCGAAGCAGAAGGCTTTTGATACGGTTAGTGTATAGACAGAGCTCTAGATCACCTCTTCGTGCAGGAGGTATCCGACGGATTTTGCAAGAACCATTCGTTCTGGCGTCTGGCTGCCCAAAGTTGCAGCCAAGCACACACGTGCAGACCAGGCCATTAAGGCGTTTGGCAACACCACGTTTCAGTGGTCAGCTCCCGATTGGAAAGCTGCGGGTAGCTTCGCGAAAAACCGCGAGGTGACTCGGCAGACTTCGTCTCACCACGTATGGCTTGTAGCCACCAGAAAGACGAGAAAAGTGTTCAGAACAACAATGCAGACTTTTTCAGAAGTGAAGCCTGATCAGTGCTTTAGAACCTTTAGTTTGCGTCTGCGTCGCAGTTGCACCGCCCTCGGCGTTCTGGGAGTGCATCGCCTCACACTTCACAGACCTTCACAGTATAGCTTGATGCACCTGGCTTTTCCGCACCACCTCGCAGGTATCCAAACAACTTGCGCGACTGGACGTTGGACTTTGGCCCAGCTCCCAGTATCAAAGTTTGTTCGCTGGTGTCGAAGTGAAATGCTGTGTGATGTATCGCTCTTCTAGGCTACCGGCGAGAGCTTGCGTCAAGCTGAGCATTCTAGGGGCTATACGAGCTATACGAGCTGAAGACATCGCAAGACACTCCCTTCTGCACTACATGAGCTCAGTTGCCGGCCGTGGTACTGTTGGTCAGCGAATTAACCGGGTGACAGTTGTCGAATGTGTTGCGCAGCCGGAAATCCCTGATGTGCTGTCTGTACAGAGCTGTTGCAGTGCTTGACTGCCGCTTGTGTGCTTGTTGACGCCCTGCTCGTTGTTCCAGTTCAGCATGTCGGTAGCTTGATGCCCCAAATAACCCCAAAGCATCCCAGCTCGCCCATGCCGGCTGGATGCGACACTCGGTTGCTAGCTAAGTGGGCGACATGATTCATGATGCAACCCTTAGCCTTGCTTCTGATCCGTGAATATTTAAGTCTTGGCAGCTGAATGCAAACACTTTGAAAACACTCTGCACTTTTTAGGGGTTGGGTTCGCGTGTTGCTATAGACCGAGAGTATGCAGCCTTCGAACCCAGCAACTAAGAATTTGAGAGTTCAACTGTAGACGCAGTGTAGATGCAACTTGCGACAACGAGAGCAGATGGCTGCCGAGCCTGTTCCGACTTTGGAGTTCCAGGCTGAGCTTTGTGTGCCATGTGGTAACCGATTGGGCGAGTGCCCGCTCTGGGATGACCTCTGTGCCCCGGAGGAAGAAGCAGAGCTTGTTTGTGTTTCTCTTTTCAGTTCAGTATGCATTCCCAGTCGCCGTCCTTGAGGCCAAAAGCTGTGCTGGATTGACATTCAAGGCAAGAGCTTCTGGCAGCATGACCCGCTCGGGCCGCGGGGAAATGCAAAGTGCTTCGACTTGCCGAGTCGGCCCGGGTCCTTTTGCCTCACCATGGCCCATGGCGCCTACATCATCGCTTTGGAGAGCGGCTTCTCTCTCTTCGACTCCACCAAAGAGCAGCTGATACCCATCACGGAGGATTCTTCTAATTCTAGTGCTACCGTCCATGCAATTCCGTGCCAGTACCTCAAGCTGTCAGCCGTTGAAGTTAAAGTTGTCAGGACCTGGAGCCCGGGCTTCGGACGCGCCTGAACGATGGCCGGGTGGACTGCCAAGGGCGTTTTGTTGTGAGTGGTTGCGTGGACAAGGGCGACGAACCCATCTCTGCAGTCTACCGTGCGACGCTCAGCAGCTCCTGCTGTTAAGACAGCAAGCCTCGCTCCTCATCGTGGGCATGGAGGCCTGAACACGGATTTGACCGTCGAAAAGCTTCTTGCTGATGCCGCTTGGTCGCTAGGAGGACGCCAGCCGTTAGGATAAGTTGATATGGAGCGACAGATGTGACTGTGTTCAGAAGGTCCGCTGCGGAAACTCGATTTGTAGCTCGGCAGCACTTAGCTGAGCTTTAATTACTGCGGCGTGCAGCGGATTAGAGGCAGACAAGTATTTAGAGCTCTGCACGCCCCAACAAATCCCAGGAACTCTAATCTTCGTTTCCCGACCCACTGCACTCGGCTTTTCTGCAAAGGCAGAATCCCGTACCAGGCAAGACGAAGATGTGCAATTCAATAGCTCGACGCAATAAACATATTGCACCACCCGAAACCTTCACGAAGTTTACCTACAAATACCCCGGAAGCTCTGAGAACCTTCTCTTGAGACGGTGCCAAAGTCTTTGCTCGCGATGCATGCGTGCACAGGACCCTAGCAAAACAAAAGAATGTGGAGCGTGGGGAGAGGCCTTCACGAGCTACGTATCACATGCTATCACTTCACATAGGCTCTCACATTGCATCTGGAAGATCCGATGCAAGCCGCACACCCTGAACCGCTACCCACTACGATTGAACCATTTGAGAGCCAAGACGCTCCAGGGAGGGGTTATGTCGCTACAGACTGCGTTGTGCAGATGCAGGAAGCAGATTTGGAGTCTTTCTCGACGGCTGTCAAGGCTTCTCCGAGGACAGCATGTTTTTTGCGGATCCTGCCTTTCGTGGTACTGACCCCGAGCAGACCGGAACGGCGACCTGGCCAAACAGCCTCCGCAAGCACTTGCCACAGCCTTCTGACACTGTTTTCCACATTGTCTGCACGAGGCCAACACCATCTGGCGATTTTTCGCGTATGCGTCGACAGGATGGCGGGACGGGGCTTACCAAGCTGGCGCGGAGTGTTAATAATTGAAAGGGCCCAAACTCGTGTTGTAATGTGAAACTGCAGGAATGGCCGGACCAAGTCAGGTGTTCGTCAATGCGGCTGGTCGACCTGATGGTTCTGTCATTGATGCGGAGGGCTGCCTCTGGAACGCTGAGTTCGGCGGAGGCAGAATCTTGAAGCATCGCTGGGCAACGTAGAACCCCGATGAGTAAGCATTTTTCTCTTAACGGTCCCAATATTAGGGGCTTTATATAGAAAGCGGGATTTTACTTGGCAGGGTAGGTCTTGGTGTCCATGCCATGTTTGTCGCATGAGGGCAAACTTGCCGACTTGTCAGACAGCTGCTCCAACACATTTGTCTGGACAAGGAGTTGTGCGGTACTTGCCTGACGGTTCAGAGAGCATGGTCGTCAGATGCCCTGTCCGCTACACCACATGCGCGACCTTCGGCGGGTCTGACCTGCAGACGATGTACATTACAGATGCATCGGTTCCCGGATGGCAGCTTATCGCTGAGCTGTATTGGGCCACGTGAGCGGTGAGAGAACCCGAAGAGCTGAGGTTTTCGTCAACCAGCGAGCTTCGCCGGCAAGAAGATGAGAAGAATCCTGAGACAGAGATGACAAGCCATCGTACCTCTTTCAATATGTTCGTCGTGTCAATCGTGTCACGGAGTTTGCAGGCATCATTCTCCCGTGCGAGATCGATTCATTATTTTCGCGATGTGTTTTGCAAAGGGGTCAAAGCCTGCAGGAGGGTGTACCGGTCAAGAATGCTAGGCTGCCAGGATTCTCAACTTGGGCCATGGGTGTACCCTGTACCATTCACTCACCATATGGGCCGTTGTCGTGCGCTGCGACAACATTTACTTTGGACGTTTGTGCTCGCGTAGTCTTTTGCTTAAGATGACCGCTGTAGGGTAGGTAGCTGCCGCCATGCCGGGGCCTTGGATCCTCCCTCCTCGAGAGCACCCAGGTGCATCGAAGGCGCTACCCTCTGTGTGCGGAGACTACCTGGAGCTGAAGCTCCTGGATGAAGAGTGGCGCCCTCAAGGAATTGCCCTTGTAAGGGTCATTCAAACCAGAGTTGTGGCCGTCTCGGATGGCTACCTCCAATGGTGGCTCGACTCGACGAGGGCGAAGCTGTGGAGCAGAGGTTCTTCGCCTTCCACCTTTGTGCCAAGAGAGCCGGCACGTGTCGGGGATCAAAGGGGCACCCGCAAGGCAACTTCCTCCAAAGCATCCCTTTGAGGGAACATGGGGGTGCTCAGCAGCCTGCTTGGCTAGGTCAGCTCCCCGAAAGGAGGGCCAAAAAAGGCTCCACAAGAAAGAGGCCTCGGGCGGTGATCCGGCAACACGAGGGCACCGACCGCGGCCGAGGTTGATCCGCCTGGGTTTGAGGGAAGGCTCGAGCTCTGAGGAGGGCGAGTCCTTGGAGCAAGCCGCCTGGGGTGGTGGAATCTTTCGCGAGTCCAGAGTGCAGTGGGCAGAGGAGACCGAGGCTCTTCCCGATCCACGTCAACCAGGGTTGTGAAGCTGCCGGAACCGGCCATGCAGTTCGGATCTTCGGACCACTAAAAGGGTCTGGCCTTCTTCGAGTAGTAGGAGGCCCGGCTGGGCAACGTAGGGCAGGAAGTCCTTCCTGGTCTCCAGGAACGGCTTCCAGGAACTCATTGTAACTCATTGATGGGAATGAGGTTGCTGATGAAGCGCTGTACCACCTTCCGGCGCCGTTACGCCGTTCGTGATGAGGTGACTTTGAGAGTCTCGAGGGATCGCACGCTCATCCGCCGCAGCAACCATGCCTCGACGGTTTGCCGCCTTCATCGCCTTGTTCCACTGCTCCTGGGTGGCGTGCACCTTTCCCTTATGGGAGGAGTGATCGGCCCCACGCTTTATGAAGAGCTTGGGAGAAAGCACCGCGGCCTTGGCATCTCCCTCCAGGTAGTCGATGACATCTACCACGGCTGCCTCTCCCTCTTTCCTCTGTGGGCCATGCTGCAACCGCCGACTCTCTGGACCATGAGCGGCTTGAAAGGAGCTTCTCGGCCTCGGCCAGTCCTCCCAGTGGCTCACCCTTTCCCCACGGCACCCACACAAGACCACGCTTCGAGCTGTCTCTTGCAAAGCTCAGAGGGTGGAGGCCAGCAACCGCAGCAGTTAGGAAATTGAGACTGTAAAGGACCCTGGCGAGGAGCAACCCCGAGCAGACAACGTTTTGGCTCTCGCGCGTGTCGGGGCTTTCCAAGGCTACAGCTTTTGAGGTGGGAAGGGCCAACACCTTGGCCACGAGGGCATTCAAGTGGTTGACCAAATCTAGCGGCGAGCACTGCTTGTGCTGTGTTTCCATCCGTGGGACTTTTTCCTGTGGTTAAGCCGGCAGAACGAGGACAACATCTCCACGTTGGAATGCTGGCAGCCTTGGCAGAGATCAGACGCCGTGCGCGGCAGTTAGGGATCCAGGGGACCAGGTTCTTTGACTTCCTGGGTTCCCAGGTGTACCACATCCTGGCAAAGGGAAGGGCTCACAGTTAAGTGGCCCAATTGGTTGGCGAGAGGGGTAATGGCAGCTCAGACGTGCCCAGTTGCAAACGCCGGCATCTTGGACCATATCGGCATGGAACTTTTGCTGATACGGCCTCCAGATGTTTTGCCCGCATGGCCCCTAAGTTGCACTTACGCATCCAGGGGCTGAACACCAAATCCCGTGCCAACTATCGACCTCCCCCACGGGTGGAAGGTCAAGTCTGAAACTGCACCGCGATGCGCTCGCCATTTCCAAAGCGCTCCCCGGGGGAGGCGCGGGGAGGAAGAAACAAGTTCAAGGAGGCACCAGCAGTGCGCGGGCGTCATCCAAGTAAATGCAGCAGGTCTTTTGATCCGCCCATCTTCCCATGAGCACTGATGCTTCAAAGTTTTAGCAGATCTGATCTGCCAGTGAACTGTGGCCCTTCCTCTCTTAAGCCCATAGGGCAGAAATGCTCCCTTGTTTTCGAGGCCTTAGAAGACAACAAGTTTCTGCAATCTTGCCCGAAAAGTTTGCAAAGACGAGTCGATGATAGGGGCAGAGGAAGCCCAAGATGCCAGGAACGAAAGGAGTACCCGGCAGAAAAAGGGGTCCAAGAGTGAGACACTTTGGGTGACAGAGCCACCACGACGTGTCCACTGTTAAGACAGGACACGTCTCGAGGCCTCAGCCCGTAAATTTCAGCTGTCCTTGACAAGAAGACAAGGAATTGAAGAACAATTCGAAGGGCAACAGCCAAGCGCCGTTGCCCAGAAGAGAGGGCCAGGCCCGCCATGGCTTGGACAAGAGACCATGGCAGGGGAGTGGCCCGGCAAGGTTTGTAAACCTTGATCCAATTGGGAATAAAGTTGGGTGGCAGAATAAATTCTCGACCGCAGTCGGGGGAGAAACCTTTTGAGTGCCGAAACGGTGGCACCAGTATACCATATACCCATGTGAGTCTCCTTCTTGGCAGGATTCGTTCATAAACTCACTGAGAGCAAAGCCAAGCTCTTTCACAGAAGTGGGCATGCGAAAGGTCACTTTGTGTTGCGAGCTCGTCGGCCCACGGAGCACCCCAGCTTTTCACCCTTGATTGCGTGCTGATCCAGACCGCTGCCTCGGTCAAGAAGAGAAGTATCGCGGCCTTTCGAGTTCAATGGGCCGTTGTCGTTCGCTGCGAGCATCCACGACACACAGCTTGGTCCGACATTGACTTCGGACGTCTGTGCTCGCGTAGTGTTTTGCCTCCCACCCGGGCCCCCCCTGCACCGCGGTGCAGATGCGGAGCGCACTGCGGTTCAGTTTCACACTTGACCTTCCACCCACGGGCGTGAAAAGGTCACTTTGTGCTGGGAGCTCGTCGGCCCACGGGACCCCCCAGCGTTTCACCCATGCTGTGGCATCTGCCACGGCGCGCTGATCCAGACATATCCAGACTACTGCCTCGGTCAAAAAGAGAAGTATCGCGGCCTTTCGAGTCCAATAATAATTTGGATTAACTTGGAAGCTGCTGCCAAGCCCAGGAGTTTCGAAAAAGCGAAGGGAGGAGTTGCCCGAAGGAGCAAGACTGCATGCAGGGCTCTTTGTGTCATGATTGATGAGCTCTCTCGGCATCGTGAACCTTGCACTCAGTCGCTCCCTTGCACGCCATCGATTCGAGGATACGCCGGCGGCATCTTCAGCGTCCGCTTGCCGACCCGAGGTTTGGCAGCTTTCTGGCGGCATAGGATGCAATAGAAACATGAGGCATCTCGAGGTGATGTGTGTCACGATGAAGGACGACCTAGCACAAGCGCTTTTCGTCCGGAGTCTAAGGAGCGCCGGTTTGCAGGAAGCATTCCGCGAGCCGAAAGAAGTGTGCATCCATGCGCAAGATTCCATCGCAACTCCTCAGAGATACTGACTCAACAAGTTTTTCCTTTTCGAGCTCAGGCCCAACTTCAGCGGCAGCTCGTGGACAGTGCGTGGAAGGCATTGAAGTGGGCAGCCTATGTGCTCAACACGACGGACATGAGCTCTGTTATTTACTTGAGGGATCGATTTGCGACTGCAGTTTTCGATTCGAAACGGTTGTCGTCATTGCCGAATTAGCATCACCAGCTTTTGTTTCGCAGTGATCAACAGTTGACATTCCAAGGCCCGCCGGTGTGTCCTTGCCTTGAAGGGTGGAGATAGGAAGCTGCAGGGATTTGACCACAACCCGTCGGCCGGTCAGTGTTCAGGCTCATCTATTCGACGTGTACCTTGAATAGGATGGAGAACGAGGAGGCTGGTTTTGCGCATGGAGTCTTTCTGTCAAGCGCTTTTTTCAAGGGCGACTGTTGGCGGGCAGGTATGCGACTACTTGCTGAGCAGGGGGGCGCAGTTACAGCCCAAGCCAGACATGGCAGAATGCGAACCTTGCACATCCCTCGCATCCCCTGCCTGACGGGCTGATCAGGCCCCTGCGCATGGCTGACCTTACAGGAATTGACAGTCCAGGTGCAGGCTCCAACCAAAACAGACATGCGAAACAACCGAACTCTTGAGCGACTTGATCAGGTGTTCCACAAGATCAAGAAGAGCATGTGCTCCGAGCCGTAGCCTCAATTTCAGGACTACGTTTGCTAGCCCCGCGATGTCAAGGAAGTGTATGCAGAATTCTTGCGACTGTTCTCCATCTTTCAGTGTCTTTACATGTCTTTATTCCGAGCCATTGCCGCGGTTGGAGTAGTTGCGTTGGTCGCGGTTGTGCTTTTGATGCGGCTGTTGCAGTTGCTGTTGCTACGGCTGCTGCTGCTGCTGCTGATGCTGCTGGTGGCCGTGTCGTTGTTCGAGGATGCTGCTGAGCCGCCCCTGCTGTTGCCGTTGCCGTCTTCCTGTTGGCGGTCGCCGCGAGCCCGGCCTGGGGGGGTGGGGCCTATACAGCTTAGCCGAGGCTGCAGATGGTCATGCCGACCCACCAAAACGAATCTGCAAGTAACATAAGTAACATATACATACTGGTGTAGTGACATGGCAGCAGCAGGAGCCATTCGATGACATGGGCCATTCGCGAGGGGCAGGGCATGCGACACTTTCCTTCTGTTGTGCAATGCCTCCCTGCCTTTGTGTGTTTTGTTTCCTGCAAGAAACACTTGCATAATATCTCTCACGATTTCCATTTCCATGACCGATGATCTGCGGCCTTTCTTATCACAAGCCCGGCATGGCGTGGCTGGTTTTGTTTTCAAAGCCATGACGAGAAGACGCTGCAGACCGACGGTTGCCGAGCAATCATAGCCCATCGGTGCAGCACGATGGGCTTGCCGGACAAGTCTCCCTTGAAGGTCGTGACTTTCTTTACAGAGGGACCTCCCCACGACAACTGTTTGCCATTGACTGAGACCGTGGCGGAGCTGCGAAGTTGTCTTGCAGAGTCCGGAGTGCAGTTGGTGGCGTACAGCCCTCGTACATTGCAGGAAGACGAATACTACAGAAACCACTGCCAAGCACAGTTCGGAAAGAGCAAGCTCGAAGAGCCGGGCATGGAGCTCTTGCCTCATGCAGCGAAGCTCGGCTACTATGCTTGGAAGCCGTTGGTGATCTGTAAAGTGTTGTCACAGCTCCAGCCAGGCGACATGTTGCTGTTCATGGATGCAAACCTGAAAAAGTACAAAGACTATAAGCACGGCCTGGGTGACTTGCGATCGACCTGCACTCATTTGCTGCAACGGGCCGACATTTTCGTGCCACTAGAGGATGCTGTTTGGAAGCGAATTCGAAATCATTGCAAAGCCTTAACTCTGGATTTGATGGAGGCGAACACCTTCGACATCGCGTATGCGCCTTGCATCTGCGTAAATCGCATTCTGCTGAGGAAGTCTGCGCTTACAGATGCAATCATAGCCGAATGGTTGCAATGGTGTGCAAACAAGATGGTGATAAGCCCAGTTCCAAATCCATATACCCATCCGCTTTGTATGTTTCACACACCCGAACAGGCAATCCTCGCCGTTCTTTTGCGAAAGCGCGTCCTTGCTGGCGAGTTGCCCCAAGGATGGCCATTCTACTCTTACGCATACGGGCGTCGGATCTTCCACCTCGGATCACTGGAAGACTGGCCGATATCTCGCTGGGCATCGCTACGCAGCAGACTCCGAGCGATGTTCTTCTTCCTTCGGCATGCTGCCTTTGCCTACATATACCCAGTTACGGACTCCTTCTGGAGCCAATTCCCCAGAGCGACTGGTGGCTATTTGTTGAAGTTTGCATGGCGAGGGTTCTTGATGTGCCTGATACCTTTGCCAGAGAACTGATAAGTCTGCCGAATTCGAGCGGGCAACCTGCACCTGCAGCTTGCTAGAGTGCGCGAAGAGTGGCCAGAAATGACATGACTTCTGCTCACTTCAAAGCTTTTCTGGCAAGAAGCCCTCCATGGCCTTGGACCGTGCACGGTGGTTGAATCCCAGGTTTGGCCACACACATTTGACACGGAGGGCTTCTTCCTTGCAGCGTTTCTGAAGGAGGTCTGCAGTGAGAAGCGCTTTTTGTTATGGTTATGACAGCCAGCACAGGAGTCACAGGACCTTCCCCGCTGGACAAGCACACCCAGGAAAAGGTGTCTTGATGCTGTATCGATTTGATCCAGATCAGATTCTCTCTGCAGGCCTGCGGGTGCCCTGAGATGGACACCGATCCGTGCCACCACCCTGACGCAGCTCTTCAAGTCCTGTGAGGATCAAGAGAAGAATTGTGTGCCAAGCAAGCTCATCTGTTGCAGGATGCCTTGGGCTTTCGCCCACCTCTCATTTCCAACTGCTCGAATCGCTTGGTGCTGCAGGCGCAGCTGGACTTGTAACTTGTAGCCTGGTGCCTCTAATCACTCTAATCCAAGACTCTGCGCTGAGAGGAGGAGCAGAATCGCATCCTCCTCCTGCCTCAGGAGGGTCGATAGCTCATGCCGACAAGAAGTAGTTTTAGTTTCCAAGCTGCACATCCTGCATGTAGCCGCTGAATGTAGCCTCTGAGGCATAAGCCGTGTGCCCGAAGCGCTGCATGGCCTCGCAAAGGCAGCCCAGATGTTCAATGTTTCGGGCTCAGTGAGGCTGTAATTCCGACTCAGGACCCTGGTCTTCCCATCGCAAGATGCACAGCGTCCGGGGACCTGCAGATCACCGACGAGGTGCTGGACGATGCTGGACGCTTCAGGCCCCACTCCCTTCAGAGCTTTCGGTGCGTGAGGCCCGACTGCTCTTCGGCCGTTCCCCCGGGAAGCTTCAGCCTCGTTCAACTGCGAGATCTCGCGCATGCCGAAGTTCGAGCCTGCGATTTCATTCACCATGGTGCAGAGGCCAAGCCAGCATTCAGACTCAGCTGAATGGCAGCTGCCCGAAGCTCGGAAGCAGCTTGGCAGCCCACAGAGCAGCACCTCAGGCTGCAGTTGGCATCAAGATTGGAGGCGTCAGACATCCGATTTTGTGCCCCAAAAAGCCACGAGCAGCTCCTCAGAGAGGCCAACCTGGGCAGCTTGAACTCCGAGCTGAATGCCCACGTTGAGTCTGGTGATGCTGAAAGCGGATGACTCAGACGGCCTGCGGCGGCCTCCGGACAATGGGCAGCGAAGTTCTTTGTGTTTTTTTTTTCCAGGTGCTGTAGCAGCCAAGAGCCCAGCGCGTTGCAGATGCAGCTCCCCTCACGGAAACGTGACTGATGTCAAGCAGGTTCTGGCTCAGATCAGCAAGCGCCGCTGCCGCCCGAGGATAGATTCCCAGCACTGCTCCTGTAATCAATCTTCGCAGTTGGGTGCAGCGAGGTCTAACACCAGACGTTGTCACCTACACTACCCTGATGAAGGCAGCCGGAGGGTTTGCAGATTTCTGAGGGGGAGAGTCTCTGTCTACGTGCGGACTATTTCCTTGAGCAGCACTTGCAGCGTTTCCCTTGCGAGCGTTCTGCGAAAGGCCGGCGCTCGGAGTGGATCCCACAGCCCATTCGATGTTGAGCAGACTGTGCTTTCAGCATTGCAGGCGAGGCATTTCTGTCTCTTTGAACCGTGCCGCATCACAGCATGGAGCGGACGTGCATCCATCAAGGCAGGTTCAAGACAGTCCGTGTCAACCCCACTTAGCCATGCAAATCTTCGTCAAGACCCTGACGGGCAAGACCATCACGCTGGATGTGGAAGCGTCAGACACCATAGACAATGTGAAGGCCAAGATACAAGACAAAGAAGGTGCCCTGGCACAGTAGTTCATTTGTTGCAGAGGTTTTCGATGTCCTTGGCTGGTGGCGGTAGGTGAACAGGTCGTACTGAGCACATACATAAAAATCTCGTCAGGCATCCCTCCGGACCAGCAGCGCCTGATCTTTGCTGGGAAGCAGCTAGAGGATGGCCGTACATTGTCGGACTATAACATCCAGAAGGCACGGCAGAGAGAGGGACAGAGAGAGATGTTGGGGAGCAATCCTCCTGCCCACAGCCCTGACGAAAGAAAAGAGAGAACATCCAAAAGGACGGAGTGTCAATGCACACTTCAATGGGATGCAGAAGCAAATTTGAGGCACCCGGCAGGTCCAACGTCCGTATTCGAGTTTTCTTACAAGCCCACACATGCTTAAGTCGCCCGTGGTACTTTTGTGGAATTTGTCTTGCTGGGGCTCGTGACCGCACCCGAAGGAGTCAACTTTGCACCTGGTGCTTCGCCTGCGAGGAGGACATTGTCAGGTCCCCTGCGGCATTTTTGATGACCCCAAGCTTGTGGCTGATGTCAAGGAGGCAGTTAGCACTATCAAGAAAGCGATGGTTCAAATAGGCGAGCTCTCCGCAAATATGACTGCGCAAAACATCAATCAGATCACGCGCTGGGTCAACACCAAGGAGGAACATGCCGGCAAGATCATCTCGCTCATGTCGGAGTATTGCTTGTGCCAAAGAGTGAAGCCCGTCAGCGATCCAAAGACACCCTTTGCCAGCGAGGATGAGTATGTGTCTGCCATCCAGTCCCATCACAAAGTTATGTTGGCAGCTGTGAAATGTAAGCAGAATGTCGACCCCGCAGTGGCTGATGCACTAGACGTTGCTGTGGTTGAGATGAGCAAGATGTACATAAAACATGCGGGCGGTTATGGCGCAAAGTGACTAGACTTGCGCGACAATGTACCTAACCAGGAAGACACCGCCGCTCAAACAAGCATTTGCTCCAGTTGTGCTTGGTTCTAAAACCGATACGCGTCGTCGAACCTAACTAGAAACGCTGATCTGGCCGTGCCGAGTGTGAGGGCGTAAACCGCCCGTGCATGCTCACGCTTGTTGATGCTTGTTGTACTGCACTTTCCGAGCACAACTGCCAGCGCTGCTGAGAATTGCCCAGGCGTTTCTCTCCCGGCAAGGATTGGTGAACTCAACAGAGCAACGTCCTGCTCGATTGTGTGAGCATCCTTGTCCTTTGCCTGGGCTCTCGCAAGACTCCGAGTTCGAATTTACCTGCAGCAGAAAAGTTCGCGCTGCGCACAGGCGCACAGGTGCAGCAGTCGAAGGGGGCAGTCTGTTCATGCCCTGCAGCAGATTCTATCCAAACAGTGCTGGCGCCTACTGCCGATCGAAGTTGCTGTTAGCCAGGAAAAGATTCCCGTGGACATTGACCCGGCCTCAGTTTCACAACAGTTGCAAAATCGCCAAGCATGTGCAGCAGATGTGCCTTTTCAGGGTTTTTTTTCCACCGCCCTCTACGCCTTCGCCCGAGCCGGAGATCTGCCGAGGTGTTTTGAGCGAAGCTCGCACGCACCCTTGCAAGCGCACGTGCCTGCACTCACAAGATGCTCACCGCTACTGGAGTGGCCTTTCTTTGTGCACCATGGTCACGTCTTGTACGAGCCTTTCCGTTTATTCTGCACTGCATCCCACCTCGTGATACTGTAGCTTCAATCCGTGGGCGTTGTGCTGCCTCACTTAGTGGGGCCATCTGTATGCAGCGGCAGACAGAGCGAGAGAGAGAGAGAGAGAGAGAGAGAGCGGAACCAGGGCGCGCTTGCGCGCAGAGGGAGGGGGTGGCGTGCGGCTCCTTCTCTCCTGGCTGTGCAGAAGAAGAGAGAGAGAGAGAGAGAGAGATCCCTCTACTTCATGGGCATTGCTTGGAAGGGCAGAAAGATGTGTTTTGATCATGCGCGATGCTCGAGCCACTGCCTCAATGTTAATGGTGGCGTTGATGTAGCAGACGCCATGATCGGCTGGGGGTTGAATATTGCTGAGATTGTTCCGGACCTGGCATGCCAAAACCTTACTTCAAATTTCGAGATGTGACTGCAGTCAATATCGGCCTCAAAGCTTTCGATCGGAGGCTACAACTCGTTGATTCACGCTGCGTCCAAAGCCGGCCAGCAGTGCCCTCAATCAGCAAGGGTTGTCACTTCCATGCCGTGGTCAAGTCGCTAAGACAAGGCTACATCGAGTTCAGCACTGGCTTGACCAGGCGAGACGGCGCTTTGACGTTCTGCCATGCTGTGCCATGCCGTGCCTATCTGTAAAAGCGCCGTTCAACCTCTGCCGCAATGTGTCATTGGTGCATTGGCCGATTCGCCTGCGCAGTGATTAGGTTCCTGCCGTGTAGCTGAAGCCGCTTGCGATTCCACCACATGTGCACGAGGCTGAGATGTCCGGCTTGCCCATGACGGGGGTCGAACACTTACTTGCCAATGTTGCCAACGAGATTCTGGCCTACCCACGTATCTAGAACTCGGGTGTTCCCGAAGGTTTGCTACGCTCTCGCCTGAGAATCCCATGATCGAAAGACGAAGGACGAGGGGCCCGCGAGCTTCGGTCAGTTCCTTCCCTTGTGCCGAGGCTTCTGTTCTGAACGCTTGTGCCAAAGTTGCCGATGCAGAAGGAGCAGAGGCCCCTTTTCCTACTCTGAGCGCCCCAAGCGGCCACATGCTTTCCTCCAAATCCATGTCACCTTGGGGCAGATGGGGCGGGATGCCTTGAGATGAAATTGCCGCAGCCACTTGGTTTCTGCTTGTCCTCACTACTGACGGACCCAGGCTCGCAGGGTGGTGAGGTCAGGGGTTTCGAGACCAAGACTCTATGAGACTCTAAGACATACTGTATATGGACTTCGCTTCGATTCTCCAAGATTTATGGGCTTCGCTTAGGGCTTAGGGTTCTCCAAATCACAGCGATCTTCGGCTCAGATCGGCCAATGCAGTTCAGGGTTGAGTGTGGTTGGTGGTATGTGGCGTCGCGTAGTAGTTTAGCCGTGGAGGGAGCATGAAAAATCGCATGGGGAGAGTGTAGACTGCTATGCAACAGTAGCATGAGCGTGGGTTCTTCATTCCGCGATGATTGCAAGTCCGCAGGCTGCAGCCAGTTTGTGGAGCATGGCCGTGTCTGCCAAGTGGCGGGAGCAGTGGATAGAGGCCGCGGTGCAGAAAGGGTCAGAGACAGAGACCTGGTCGAACCTTCTTAAGAGGGCCCGTTGCGAATGTCCGTGCTCCTCAGGCAGTATCGCAGATTCGGAGCGATCTGGGCTACGAGAAGAGAGCCATGGCAGCATTTTTGATGCTCACCTGCCGCAGAAACATCTCGAACGCGACAGGTGCCGAGCAGCTTCGAGCACTACAAAAAACAGGTCTCTTGAGGCTGACAGACTTGAAGAACGATCCCGCCAAGTTCTTCGAGGCTTGGCTGGCACGTGCATCAGGTGAGGTTTTTCTGATACTGCTTGTAAAACTGGTCTGTTGTTCCTGTTGCTTCACGCCGTTAGACTCCTGGAGAAGAAATCAGAAAAGTCTGAAGTTTTGAGACAGAATCGACACGATGCGGAGAGGCGCACCGCCTCCTGGCGCACCATGCTCCAAAGCTGGGCCCTGGCTTCTGGATCCGCTTCACAGTGCTTTGGCACAGAACGTCAGCACGCGCTGCAAGACGAAGTTCAGATGCCCAGGTGCATTACAACCTCTTCGCGGGATCAGTCCTGGCAGTCCGAGCCTAATGATATGAAAGCGGAAGATCCGCTCCGAACCCCTGCCCGCACTTCACATCCCATCTCGCTGCACACGTTTTGAATTTCGAGGGCACTGGTCTTCCACAAGACTTCAGCAGTCGAAATGTGCGGAACGTCCTCCGCGGCAACCATCACCAATGCAAAGTTAGCCGTGAGAACAAACCTTTGAATGCTGAAACACACTGTTCAAAGCTTTCAGCAAAAAACCGAAAGCCACCCCGGCACTGCTTCAATCCTGTAGCTGCTGATATCAGTCTTTCAGAATCAGGGGTTTCCACCCCGTGGACAGCTTCTCGCAAAAAAAGTCAGGTCGGAAATGATCAGCAAGTCGCGCAGTTGGATGACATTCAACAGAAGGCGGGTGCTCCTGCACTTCAGCCAGTGACACCTTTGCTTGCACGGCTTGCAGGGCCTGCTAGGCTGCTTTGGCCTGACGGAAAAACTCGCTGGTGTCAACAGTTGCACGGCAAGAATTCAGAGCTGACCAGAAGTGCGCGTGCGGTCACGGGAGGAAGGTCGTGCCAGGGGAGTCGGGTAGAGCGGGTACAGCGGTTTAGTCTAGCGGAGTCTAACGCCTGCAGCCCGCTTTGCTTTCGCTTAGGTGGTGGAGTCGTCCAAACCACTGCAGAGTGGGACGTCCGGAGCTCAACTTTTGGACCGAGAGTCGCCCCGGGGCCTGCCCAGCTGCAAGGACGCTTCCAAGGAGTTTGTTATAACCTCGTCAGATGCTGCTTGCTTGCAGATTCCTCATCGATCCGCCTGTGCATGCATGTCTGCGCACGCGTGTATGCATGATAGCCCTGGCTTGTCCTGTCCTGTCATGTGCAGCCTAGGTCGGCGCGCACAAGAACTGGATATCACAGGGTTTGGTTGGTGAGCTGGCCGTGGTGGTGGCAGATCTCCACGTCGCTGGCAAGAGGCCATGACTCGAAACTGTGTGCGAGATCTCCACGATGCATGAATTCTCGATGACAGGTGTGGAGCTCACGCCTTCTTAATGCAGCTTCGGAAAGACGGTCAACCTGCCCCCAACGTAGAACTGGGTGACACTGGGCAGAAAGCTTATATAGAAGTGCTGTCTATACTTCTATACCTTCCACAACTCGACACCTTCAGTGTCGAGACAATTGAACATGCAGTCGGAGCTTGGAAGGACATGGGCCGCAAAACTGTGGGCAATGATCTGGACAATGCTTGGATCGTGCCTTGGTCGCATCAATGGGCCCCGCCCTCTTGTTTGCCGAAGGTTCAGGACTCCTAATTTTTGAACACGAGAGTACCATCATGTTATGCAAATTCCATTGTTGAAACCGACGATTGAGTTGTCACATGGGCCTTGCGGGCCTTGCTCGGAAAAAGTGTACTAGCTGACATTGCTAGCACCTGATGCGTGAACTATATCGTCTGAGTCACTGCAAGACGGAGGGTACATGGTGTCATGTTCGCCATACCTTCGCAAAAATTGGCATCACCGACTTTCTGTCATGGTTTTATAGCCAGAACCGAGATGTTTTGCAGATGCTGATGCTGCACATGTCACCCCGACACTTTCGAACGCCCCGGTGCAGCCGATTGTTCAGGCATAGCTGCTCAAACCGTCCTCCCGCCTCCCCGAACGCCTGCGGCAATTTGAGTAATCCCTTCCCCCTGATATTTACGGGCTGCCGCAGTGCCGCCGTATGAGGGCGGTGAGGGCGGGGGGGGGGGGCGGTGGGGGCGGGGGGGG